ATAGGATGGTTCGAATCAGATATGTATACATCATTACTGAGAGTGGTTCGGGCATTACGAGGCGTTATTTCAATATCGATGAGACCATCTCCAGTCATGCTAATTGTCTGAGAATATCTTATAAGTTCATTAACAAGTAGACGAGCAATCATGTGGTTCTGACTAAACAGACCATGCCGTATTTGCATAGCCCCTTCGTAGCCAAGGTCCGCAGGCAGGTCCGCACAGGATTAGATAGCTCTTCTCGCATTTCTCTGACAAGTGCAAAATGTATGTTGAAATTTGCCGTTTATCACGTAATTCGCCCCCCAGTATTACCAGCCAGAGTTACCACCAAAGTTCATTATTTTAACTCCAGGCATACACGTCTAGGAAAGCAATTAGTAAGCCTGCTTCATAGGTTTGGAGATAGCTTCCACTTGGCTTCAACTAGTAGTAACGCCAACGACTGGTGTATGGCTGTTAATCCTGCTAGACCTGAGTTGTAAACACTCTACATGCCGACACTTCAGCATGGTTAACTGAAACACCGCCCCGACTAGTGACGACAGAATATGACAATTATGGCTGCTGAAAGATGTTTTGTTAATGATTTGAAGAGAGTGTACGCGTAGATAATAACACCACAACGAAGCTTCCGATCTGTTGTCCCATGGAAATTAAATTTTTCACCATGTCTTCGAATCCGCACCAATGAACAACTTGATCGTTAACTGTGAAACGGCTAAGGTACAGTCTAATTGATGGACTTCCTCGATCCCCTTCAGTCTTCTTCGTCATCATCGCACTCAAAACTCATTTCCAAAGCCTTCAGAGTCCTGCTACATCTGAGTTCCGGTTCATCATCATCGGTATCATAAGTAATGGCCATCCAAAACGTTGTTCATGTTATCGTATGAAATTCACACTCCCAAATTTTTGTTCGGACAGTCATCGCGCAATACGGCTTTGTAGAAAATCACCACATGCTCTCCTTTCAAAAAAACATCCAATGAAATGTCGTTACTGCCACTTTGAACTCAACGGTGATAGCCTGTTATTTCTCCTGGAAAAATTTAGGATGGCTTGCAAGTGAGATCATACCAGCAAGTAATGCCTTCATTTCCGCACCTTTCACGACACCTGGCAAACCTAAAATAAGATGTGTCTTAAGTTCTGGTCGACTCAGAAGTAAAAGGCGGCAGTTTGCTGCCATCCATGAATTTGGCTTTAAGGCGACCCCTCGTCTGGCCTAAAGTGAAAAGAACTTTGAACACACTTTTCCTTCCAGACAAACATTTTCCCCATCAATGCAGGCGGGGAAGAACTTGCATAAAATATAAAGATTACTAAGATTTGCTGAAGCAATTCAAAACAAGCGTTTCAAACCAAACTTATCCTTAAATAAAGACAGTGTAGCCAATCTCTGACTATTTTGCTAACTGCATTCTCATTACACTGACCAGTCATCCATATTAGTGATTTCAACTCACTGCGCAAGTTTTCAATTTTATGAACAGTAACCTTCTTGGGTTGTTACACAAACCTACGTGCTAACACTGTTTGTTAGATTTTTCCACCTTATCTTCTACTCCCTCATCCTGTTCTATATTGAAAGCATATAAACCGATGATAACCTAAACGGGAAATTGCAACGCTCATATTTCAAATGCGTTGATTCTACGTTTTTTCTACTACCATTAAATATCGACGCATGTTATTGTCATTATTTATAACCAGTGTAATTTTAGGTAGTTAACAGCCGATTAGAGTCTTTGAAATAGAATGATATCGTTTCATACTGCAAATATGGCCTTTCTTTCTTAATCGATAGCAAGATTACCTTTGAAGTTTAGACTTATTATCATAGAGCCATCTGTAATAATGCAAGGTTCAGGCTTCTGCACAACTTTATCCTGCATAATCTGATGCATATTATTAAAAGCATTTGATTCGCCCTTTTGGGTTGCGCCAGTGCCCCGGCTTTCCTCCAGAGTTTTATTCACATTTATAGCTACTGAAGATGTGCCAGTTTGTTTGACCTGTTAAGACCGTCGTTATTCCAAAATCTGTAGGTGAATGAAAAAAACCATCTTTAATCTCGAGTTTTTTTATGACAACTTAGTCCTTTAGAACCCTTCTTCTGAAGATAAACACCCTCGAGGCATCGTCCAGTAGTTCTTTTACTAAAAATGAAATAAGTACCAGAATAGACATCAGTTAACTAAAGCGTCTTACTCCTAAATAGCAAGTGGACATCAAAGACGACGCCATCTGAATTAGAGGGTAATGCAATCCACTGTTATCATCGATCAGGTTTAATACGATAGGATGTCTTCGCAAAGGCAGCGTTCTGGCTTCCTGTTCAGCATGAAGCTCATAAAGGCTACCTTTTCATTTTCTCTCCGACCGCATCCATGGCCAATCTAGAATTATATATAACGTCGTCATTAAAAAACTCAAACGAGAGACACGACATGGAAATGCAAATAGAGGACTTGTTGCCAATATTACAGAATTCCCCCAGTTCGCAAAAGAAACGTTAGACATCTTCATCGAAAGTGGTCTGATTACATTATCACGTCGATTTGAGAACTAGTGCAGTTGAGAACCATAGAGACCAAAACAGACTAGTTATGATATAATCGCGGAAAACTGTTCCCTGCGCCCCATTTTGTAGCTGCCTGAAACTTCCTCGAGAAACATAGTCACAAAACTCTCCATGAACAGCGAAACGACGAATCTCAACAGTGCGGTTAGGTGGCTACACAGGCACAAAACAAGTACTTAGAAACAAGTAGAATATTCCTAGGACGGCGGGATCCTCAACTCTGTCCACAAGAATCACGCACCAATACTTGTTGCAGACAGCCCAAGGTCGGAATGACCTTGATTCGCCCATAAAAATCACATCGCACGACACTACCGATTTGCACACGACCACCAAGGAAAGCTTGAAAATTAGAGATCAAATATTAACAAAAACATATAACAAGGATCGAATCAAAGTGTGATGTGCAAACGTAAAAATAATGACATGCAGTTTAGGAGGAGGGATAATAATGACAAAGTCTGTTGAAGCGTCTAAGTGAGTACAAACACTTTGATTAGATTGTCCAAGAGGAATTCGCCAAACAATCTTTCCGTTACATGCTCACATAAGGTTGACAGTCAGTCTTACTGAAGCATCTGCCGCCAATGTTATCAGGTTTCATCGTGCCCCGACATTAAGGCTTTTAATCTTATTTGTCTGATGTATATAAATTTCTTTCAGTTGGAGTTGTAAAGAATTATAAATATGGACTTCATTCTAGGTTATTTAGTGATTCTGCGCACCAGAGACTGCAACTGCAAGACACTGCGAAGATGAGGCAGTAAAACAAATCCGCGTGACAATTATCAATATTAATCTGCGTTCAGTAGGATTCACATTTGGTGTTACTTACGATAAAAATGCTGACAAAATCATAAAAATAAATCACTCATTTCAAATTAATACCCAATTTGAATATAAATCAAGAACGAGATACGATGCCACAGACGCCAAAGTTATATGGAGGAATTGACTTCAAGCTTTATTTTTTCCCCAAATATTTGTAATCCATCCAACATATACTTGGGTTTTTTTGTTAATGCGAAGACAATATTTCCATATTTCTTAATGTGCTCCATTGAATGACTAGTTATCAGACTGTATTTACAAACTAATATCAGAAAGGACAGCAACCATGTACTTCCACCATAAATCAAATTTTTGTAGTTTAAATAATACTTATCCATGCCTGAACAGCTGGTGTGTCCTTCTTAGATAGGAATAAATATATTATCATAAAGAGGAGAATATCCAATTCTTTAAAGAAGACCCTCCCTGCGGCAACACTAATAGTGACATTCTCTGGTAGTCCAGTACTTCGAAACGACGCTAAGGCAAACTTTCGCATATGACCGATTCAATAGGCATATACCAGTTCACCTGCTTGTGCGGAGCTAGGTACATAGGTCGTTGTATGCGCTTCCTTTCAAAACGTGTTAGAAAACATTACCCAAAGTGGCTGAAAAGAGGAATTACCGGTTCAGTCAGAAGTGCCATTGTTGAATATCTCATCAACACCTCCCACAACATCTCAACTGATTCATTCAAAGTAATTTACAAAGTCAACAGAAACCTACCAGGAGCAGTATGCTTCCAAATTTTCTGTACTGCAGAAGCCCTCGCGATATGCATCGAAAAGCCAGAGCTGTGTGTTGAAAAGGAATTAGCCTCTAAAACTACCATGGACCTAGTTCGCTATGTTCCTTTAGCCTCATTTTTTCGTTCACTGTGTGTGTGTGTGTGATTCCTCTCTCTTTGTCTTCATTAGCTTCATCCCATTTTTTCAGTTACAAGAACAATTATTTTAAGCTTGTTTCCATGCTTTTCCTGTTCACATTCATAATTCATTTAAAATAATTCTTTAACAATTACATCCTGATCCTGTGTAATTTTCGTTTCTAAGACTCTTGGAATCGATATTCGCACCTCCTAGCTTCCATTTATGTTGAAAATTATTATTTTAATTTATTTCCGTGCTGATTTTACGCACCTACAATTCGTTCTAATCCTGAGTAACTTTGTTTCTAAGCCTCTCGTAAACTATTTCTGGTTAAAAATAATTGACACCTTTTATTCGTCTTCGTAATTAAGTGGAATCAAATAAGAATTGTATTTATGTAAAATTATATATTTAAATGCGATTGTAAAGCTTTTGAAAATGTAATCGCCGAAAAGATATCTTTGCTGAACTTCGTGTCCTCTTCTTTCTGATATCCTAATGGATATTTTCCACTATCTAACTCATGTTGAACACACTTTCATGATTAATGTTTGGCGCGCATGACCAAATTATTGTTTTAGCGGGAATAGGTATGGTTCTCATTGTTCCCTCTGAACTGTCATTGCGCTTTTTTCAAACATTATTATGAATGCCACATTCAAGTGAATCTGCAAGTTCTTCAGTAATACCAACTTGTGCACGTACATAATGTCTGGGATTAAACGAGAGCATTTAGATTTAGAAGACTATTCAGATTCAGAGGTATTTAAAAAAAGAAAGTTGTCAGACGAAGGGCAGATATATATCCCAAAATTCGATTCAAAAATTACATCATGTGAATACATATTAGCGAATGGTTTTAGGCGACCATTCTGTAGGCATTACGAAGCTGTAAATATCCCAACATCCGAAAACCGTGTTGTAACGATTCATGAGACGTACCATATTGGATATTTAGACAGTTCAGATGGGGAAGAAGATGAGCGTCTGTATATTTTTGAGTTCGTCGATGCTTTTGAAATTACTTATCCTCTTTCCGTCAGGAAGTCAGAAACTTTTTTCGATAGTGGGCCATCGGCTTTCTTGAAGCAAGAGTACTACGATCAGCTGTCTTCATATGCAAACGATGCTCTAAACAAACTTACACATGAAATCAATGATTGGTTAATGGCTTGTCAGGAGTTTGAAGATAAATCAACGTTACGGCGACACATGACTGCACATCGTGCCTGTAGTGAACTCAGATACCAAACACTTCGTCTCTTAAACATTCTCGAACCTCATTTTCAGTATACTAAGTTTGACTTCCAGTCACCCTGTGTCGATAAACTTTTTTATTTTATCCTGAAATCCTTGGATCTAGGTCAGAAAATTAAAAATCCCAAAGAGTTTAATTCCACCGACGGCAAAATTCCTGTCGTCTCTTTGTGTTTAGATCCAGAACACTGCCTCAATAACTTACGAGAGCTGGTGCTGAATCTTCTGCAGAAACTCATGCCTCATTTAGTACTACCAGAAGATTTCAACGCTGAAAATGATTTGTTACCACTAATTGACGCAGTTTGCGCTTGCAACCTACAAACGTGATATGAATTTTCGACCTAACAGATAATTATCTGAGGATATCTCAAATGTACATAGTAATTTTTATTTTTCTGTATATGTGTGCTGGCTGGTCATTTTACAAGATTCTGACTTAGCTAATGTGTATATAACGTATACCTTCAAACTTATTATGAAGGGGATTTTACATTTTATGTACCTTTTGTTCTTATGTGAATAATAGTATATTTGAAGTTTCTGCTTCTAAAAGTTGTCTTTGGCAATATGAGTCAATCAATACCAGTAATACTAGATGTGACGTTAATGTCGTGTCAAATTCAAGTATTCTGATTACCTACCTAATGAGTGTAATTCCAAAGGTTTATTTTTGATAACATTTTAGTTTTCTTGTTACATTACGGGTCCCTTTTCAGTTTCAAAACCATTATGTCTTTTAAGAATAAAATTTGAAATGAATACATTATTCGTATTTTCATTTCTATTTCCTACTCTAGTCAGGATGTTTAATTCGAAAGGCCATATGTAGTATTTGGTTATCACTACAGAATCAACAAGTTTGTAAATAGCTCTAGTTAAATATTCATCAAACTATAATTGAGTCCCTAATTTCATTGTTTGCACCGTCGTGCTACCGAAAACGTGTTCTAACACTTGTCCGTCCAAATTCAGTATTTTTAAATGAACAAATTTCGTTTAATATGAGATTTGAATGTAGACACTGAGATACAAGCTAACTAGATATCTCTTGAGTTTATTTGAAATCACACAGTGAAACAGTATTGATTACTGGATGACATTTTGGGCACAATTGGTTGCTCATTATCATATCAATGTATTCACACGACTTGATAATTTACTCTATACACTTTCACTCCCGTCTATTCTTTACTTCACTTTTTCATATACTCGGTGTAGGCGTTGCGTCATTTCAGTTGCCCATGTTGGATGCTGATTCAATAGACAAACGATCCGTGATTGACTTCCCTCCCTGACTATACCACTTTTTAGTACTTCTAGCCTATCCTACCGTATTGTGTGGTTGCATGCAACTGAATGCATCGCAATTTGACTTGGGAGGGTCAATCGTTCTAGGTCTCAGTTTTCTTATGAACCTTTATACATTTTTGAATAAATTCTGATGGGTAGCTGTTCACTGTTAATGTCTTATTTTTTAAATCATACTTTACAAGCTGTTCTCCTGGCACGAAGATGTTATTATTTTTGTTAAGCTACTTTTACCTAATTTGGGTGGGATAAATCAAAGCCTGTGTACTCATTGAGATGTCATGGTTTCCTGTGAATGTTAGCATAATGTTAGTATAGCGTAGCTAAATCCCCATCTTAACTTTCAAACTTGAAAATAGATTGGATTCCATTTACTACTGAATTATGCATGGAGAAAGTAGGGACATGTTCAGTAAATGTGTCGTTCATATATCTGTACCATAACCTAGGAGCAGGTTTAAATATTCCAAGAGCTTTACGTTCCTAACTCTATAAATATGTTTGTTACTGCTGCTGGTGATCCCATTGCCACCCCTTATGTTTTCGTGTGTTATATTTTGAAATCCGAATATTGTAAGTTAAGTACAATTGGACGTCTAATATTATTTCTTCACTTGGCAATGTAGTCCTATTTTGAATTGAGGATCAATGTACAGTCCATTGCTTACTGCTGCTACGGCTGCATTATAATATTAAAAATTGTTTCCTTTAGTTCCTGGGGCTTCACCCGCACGTCTCTATTGCTTTTGGCTCTCTGCTAACGTTTTCACCTGGCTCCACGTCTGCCCACATGCATTATAATAGTACAGTATAAAGTTGTTGCGTCAAAACTAATCATTTTTCCATCCTTTCCTATTTGAATTTCCTCCAGTTTCCATTTCATTACCTCTGAATTATTTAGACATGTGAAAAGTATGGTTGTACAAATCTCAGTCGACGCACTGCTTTACTTCGCTAAGTCAGTAATAGAACTGGTAAAGAAAGGAAGTTGGACATGAGGCTAGCAATCCCGGCCGACAACTGCCACCTCTTGGTGGTGGTCGGGCTTGAATACCGCAGTGAACCCAACAAGCTAAACTGGCTGAGACTCATGTTCATGCAGGTCCTACCATATCAGATAGGTTGTTTGGATAGCGGTTAAACTAAAAGCTGTTACCATGGGGTACATGGGCTCCAGAATCCAATCGGATCAAATGGTGTATGAACCTATATTGGTCACCGGCAACCATGGGAATACAGCTCCTTACGGTGCTCCTCCGCCTTGCGGATTAGACTGCAAATCAAAGGTTCGGGGGTCGGTCCCTTAAGAAAACCACCTGCTTCGGTCTAGGCGCCCAGGCATTATCTCAGCCCTCACACAATAAGTGAAATGAAGCAATAAAGCATCGGTGAAAGTGATCGCGCGATCGTAACAATGCTTTCAAACAATAATGATGTCTCAAGTAACACATCTCTTTCCAACCTTACTTTTATTTTTATACATAGACTCCTGTATTTTTCCTTTGCTAGTCTTGACGTCTTCACCTTCGACAGCCTTTCGCCTTTGTCTGAATTCCCAGCCTATCTGTGCCGTTTCGAGATGTTAGTAAGTAGCCTTCAAAATGGTTGTCCCCAGTGCGACATCTAACACAGATATCCTGAAACCGCGTCCCGCGTTCAAGCTGGCCACCTACAATGTTCGGACAACAGGCAGGGTTGGTAAGAACATTGGAAAGCCTCGCTGTCGATGTCTGTCGCACTTCGGAGACCCGCATTCAACATCCCAGTGAAGTGCTTCGAATATCCCATTGTTGCAAATTCAAAAGTGCAGCACTTCTTAATGAACTACTGGATACCTTAAAAAGGGATACGTTTTGCTGAATATATACATGACACTGTTGTACAACGGTACCTACAGCAGAGTTGAAAGTTCTCATTGGCAGGCGTGGAAATTGACAATGTTTGCTGGCAAGTTAATTGCTAAAGACTATAGCCGCAAACGTCGGATGTACATAGATGTGTATTCTAATGACGAGGCCTTTGTCACTGACAACATGCCACATATTGTGCCATGCTATAGCACAGTTAGGAGACTGTGCATGGAGTTAATCAGTATGCACAGTCGATCGAAAAAGGAATCTAGCGAGAGGGGAAATTAGTGTGCCCAACAGTATGGTGTTTATATAGCAGGGTCAAGAACCAGATATTACAGTGAACTGTTTTAGTAAGCAGCCATTATGAACCATTAAGTAACGGTAATTTTCATTATTTATTGTTTATCAGAGAACTTCTAATATTTATGATATATCCATCAAGGTAACTTATCAATGTAGGAATTAATATTAAGTTATGCACATAATTACAACTCAAGAACTGACCATTTGTCTACAAAAATTCAAAAGAATTTAATGTAGAAAAATTTACTTTTAAGAAATTCATCAAGGATGCTTAGTATGAATTACACATTCATTTTTATTCCCGGATCCAACAAGCTATCAGAATGGTAATCAGTTATAAATTGAAAAATTACTTTTATGAAATAAGAGTGAATACCAGGTGTTATGTTGAAGTTATAAATCTTTACTCATAACATACATTTCTCCTCAAAGTCCTCCTTACAGTATGATCCCTGAGGTTGTGGAAGTAGACTTTGAAAGCCACAATTACTCTCCTACATTTCGCACTCCTTTATGATAGATGAAACGAATTTACAAATAACAAGAAGTAATTAATTAAAATTCAGATGTATGAGATGTGAGCAGTTTGTAGAAGTAACACTTTATTAAGAACACCTTAGTTAGTGAGAATGAAATTCAGTAGATGTCCAATAGAGGCTTTTGCAATTTACGTCAGTCGACAGATCAGTATGCTAATGTGAATGATATAAATGGTTAACTGACAATTAACAATGAATCTCTAAATTTTGGATTCTGTAAGGATTTTACAAGAACCTGAGTTTCATCCTATTTCCTCAAAGGGAATTCCTGTCGTTGTTATCGGTATTATCCTTGAAACCCCTCAGTAACGTCATCAATTATAATAACAATAAATCTTGGGACTACGTGATGCACTTTACTGTAGAAAGCGACCCTTAACAACTGCTGAGAAACACAACATCTTTACAAACAATTCCTAAGGTTAAGGGGAACACGATTCAACAGTATGACAACCCAATGCTTTTAATTCATAACTAATGTACATTCACACACGACGTCTTGCTGCCTATTGCACACAGTATCTGGGTCTATAGTGCGGCGTACTGTCTCTTCTGAGTTGACTCTTCGCCTGCTAATATCAGTAGCGATTTCTGTCCCACTTGCCGCTGGCTGCAGAGGTGTCATAATTTTTACCTTGGAAGTGTATCTGTCCCACATACCTTTCTGTAACCTGCTCAGCAACAACAAAGCCACAACGCTTCATCCTACCAACAAAAGACTGAAATTGAAAAGATGAAAAAAATCTAATAGTCAGTTTACAGTTTACAATTTATTTAGGATAGTAAGCTATATGCCTGTGTTAATCCTTTCGATTTGTTACACACAGGAGGTCCTATCTCGCCTTGAATGAATCAACGCTGGGCGCTGATACGACGTGTCCCGGTAGGGAGTTCCAATGGTTCACAATTCGATGCGAAAAACGGATCTCCAGACGCAGACGATTCGACCGTGGTTTTTGAACCTTGAGGTGATATCCTCGCAATTGGTTGGTGCTAGAAGGAAGAAATAAATTAGATAAATTAGCTCCAAAATCATTTCTTAGGATACGGTATGCTAGTATTAGGTCACCCCTAAGGTGTCTCTATGACAGTGGAAATAAACCTAGTCGACTTAACCTCTCCTCATATGAGAGGGTTGAGAAACCCTTTATTAGCTTAGTTCCTACTCTTTACACCCTTTCTAATAAGTCTATTTCGTATTTGAAACACGGGCTCGCTGCGTGGATCCCATATTCCAATGAGGTCTGATATAAGTCGGATATAATATACGAAATATATCAGCGTCAAAGTTCGCAAAAGCCTTGCGTATGGCCCATAATATTCG